AGGTTGGAGGGGGCTGTGAGCAACCTGCTGTGGTTCAAGGTGTCCCTGCTCCTGCAGGGGGGTTGGGCTGGGTGACCTCTAGGGGTCCCTTCCAACCCAAAACATTCTATGATTCTATGCTGTAAAGAGTTGTAAAGTGGTTGTTTTAAAAAAAAATAAATAAAAATTACCTTCTCCTTGGTAAGCCCTTCCATCTCTCAAGCATAGGAAATGGGGCCAGGTTGATGGGCAGAAGCACAAACACTTTTTTTTTTTTTTTTTTTTTTTTTTTAATGAATTGCAAAGTTTTTTACCCTGTTATCTCATTGGCTTCACCAGAGCAATCTTTGTTTGCGTGTTTTCAGATTTCTTTATTCAGACGAAGTTCAGATTGGACCAGAGACTGTTATGACAACGCTTTACACAGCTAAAAAATACGCAGTTCCAGCCCTTGAAGCTCATTGTGTGGAGTTTCTTAAAAAAAACCTGAGAGCAGACAATGCATTCATGCTGTTAACACAGGTGAGTTTGCAATTATTTGCATCAAGTCCCTCGAGCAAGTTCCATCCCAATAGGAAAACAGAAGTTTCCTGAGCGTTACGGAACTCTTCATCCAAAATGGAGCAGTTCTGTGTCATTTTGAATTCTTCCTTTCAGGAGCCCAGTACTGATGAGCAGGTTCTTACAAAGATCAATAAAATACACCAAATGTTCCTGCCGTTTCAGGTCTGCTTTCTGTTTCGGTGTGGCAGGCGATTTCTTCCAGAGTGTGAGCTGGGGAAGAAATTAACAGGGTGGAAAAATTTCATCTGCCAAGAAGAAAAGTGAAATGAGAGGATTTTCACTTGTTCAAGGTTCAGGACTGGTGTAATAGGCTTTCTCTGTGCAAATCCTGCTGCATCTAGCTGGTCAGATGCTCTTTGAAGGGCTTTTTTGCAATAGTTGCCCTGAAATGGGGGTGAAAGACAGAAAATGCAACTTTTGGTGAGTGCTTTGGTTTATTTTCCTAGGAGAGGAACAAAGTGATCTCTTCCTCAGCCTGTTCCAGCTCACCCTCCTGCTGTACTGAGGACACGCAAACCTGCAGTTTCAGTGCTGTGATTCTGTGACTTTGTGAGGCCACTTGCACATCCTTGTGCCTCTCTCTCTGATCCAATCTGTGAGGGTTGGACTCCTCCATCTTCCATTTGACTCTTGGAAGCAGCAAACTAGAAGGCAGCATTTACAGCTTCTGCTTGCTTTGGAGAAGATCAGACTTTGCATGCAGGCTGATTAAATTAGCATCACTATCCTTCCCATTTCTTAGCCCCATCTTTTCTTTCTGGCCCCTGCCATGCTCTCTGATGACACTTCAGTGACTTCCACCATGCTGTCACCAGTGTGCTGCGGCGACTGTGGCATTGCCAGGGATGCGCTGTTCTGGGTGGTGTAGGAACAAGAAACAAAATGGCATGGTGTGTGTGAGTTTCCTTTGGGGAATGGGCATACTTTTGACTAGCTCTGGAGGGATATTTCTGATCAGCTAGCTCAGGAAAGCTGCTGTGATTTCTGATGTTAAATAAACCTTGCAGAGGAGTTTTTACAGCTGCCCTGACTTGGGAACCAGCACGCTAAGGTGGTCTGGGTCTGAGGGCTTGTTCTGCCTTGCCCAGCATATCTGTGCTGGTTTTTTTTCCTCCTTGCCAGGAGTACGAGCGTCATTCAGGCTCTGACTGTAGTTACTGCATCGGTGGCAGTGTCTACACCAGCAGTTTTTGCAGAAATTGAAGCAGCGTTGGCCTGAAGCAGTCGCTGCTGAGCTCTTTGCTCGTTCACTGTGATTAGGCTGGGATTTTGAGTTTAAGTATTTGGATCAAGTTCTTATAGTTCCACGTTAGTTGCTGTGGTAGGCACTCTTCAGTGCTAGGATTCAGCCAGTGCTGCAAAATACCATGTCCCTCTTTACAGATCCTCCTCTTAATTTGGCCCTTTTCCACATGCCATAAACAGGTGAGGCAGCCTCCGAGGTGTGGGGGGAACCACACTGCGCTTCCCTGGGGAAGATTCAGGACGTAAAGATTCTTGCTTGGGTGATGGTAGCCAAATCTGCGCTCCCATCTGATGCGTGGTGGGACAGTTGTAGCTCTTTGGCTGCAACTCTCCCAAATATCCAAGAGCGGATCTTTCCCGTGGGCTGCAGTTTTGAAGAGGCATCTGATGCTGGCCATCGTCTCATGAGGATTAGAGGTGTCAGCCTTTTGGTGGTATTCTTCATGCAGGGATTTTTGCAGCATGCTAAGTCTCTGCAACCTGACTTGCAGCTTTGGCAAGGTAACATTTGGTTTCACGGAGACTTGCTTACAAGTCACAAAGGTCCTTCTTTGGCAAAAGAGGAAGGTGTCCTATTTTTTGAGATACTAAAACCAAGATACGGCCTGGCACTCCGTCAGCTGTACTGGGGCAGCTGAAACTCCAGATGGAGGCAGGCTTTCCTCGTTCCTTTTGTTTGTGGCTTATCTGTTATGATTAATTAGCAGTGGTGTTTATGTTCACTACTGCAGTGTATCAAGCCTCTAAAATGTTTGAGGCTGGTGTTCTTTGAGAAGTGTATCTGTACCTCAATGACTGGCTGCATGAGGCACCTTGCTTAATGGATCTGTACTCAAAATGCTCTCCCTTCTGGTCCTTGAGTGTGAAAATCGGCCTCTGTTTTCTGCTTTTACTGCAACAAATTGGCAAATTTGTAGAGTCAGTTACAGACCCGAGGTGCATCTTGTCCAAAACATTTCCCAACAGGTTTAAGATTGTGGACCTGAGATCATAGAACCCCAAATCTCCTTTGCTTGTATCATTGCTGAATCCTGCTGGTCCAGCAACTATGTCATGGACAGCACTTCAAGCAACTGCTAATCTCTGGCAGAAATATCAGTGGCAAATACCTCTCCTAATTGTGCCTCGTAGTGAACCGTGATCCCCTTTCATGCCAGACGTACATGCAAATGTCACTTTGCTCAACAAGGAAATAATCGTTTGCCTGAAGCCTCTGTGGGGCAGAACTCCGCGAGTGTAACGTAAGTCCTTCACGTGTCAAAAGAGAGCCACTACAGTAGCAAAGTCTGAGTCAGTCACAGCTCTTGGATGCCAAGAGTGCAAGGCACTGGCAATCCTCCAGCCCCAGGAGCAGGTGACGACTGCTGGAGCTTCTCTGGTCCCTGAGAAAACGGAGAGTTGTTTCAGCTCTCTTGAGGTCTCAGCATCGAAGTGTTTCAGCACTTGAGGTCTCAGCATCAAAGGTTGGCCTTGCTGAGCTCCGCAGCCCATGAACAAGGGTGAAGCAGAAGATGCTTGGCAGTGCCAGCCTCCATTAGTGGCTGACTTCCCTGCCCAAACCACAAGTTTTAAACCTTACCTGTGGCAGCGAGTTCAAGTAACAGTATACTCTTGTGTTAATCTGGAGCACTGTGTCCAGTTCTGGGGTCCCCAGTTCAAGAAGGATGAGGAGCTACTGGAGAGAGTCCAGAGGAGGGCAACAAGGACCGGAGCATCTCCCCTACGAGGGAAGGCTGAGGGAGCTGGGCTTGTTCAGCCTGGAGAAGAGAAGGCTGAGAGGGGATCTCATCAACACCTACAAA